TGGAACACAGTGTCCATCTGGAGCTCACATTTTTAATGTTAGTTTTGAAGTTTTTCACATTATAATTGTTAAGTCACTCACTTAACAAAGCAGTCGGAGAGTGATTCAGCAAGAACACAACTTTATTCTTCAACTCGAACACAACTCCAACACGGATCAACATCAGATAGCCAGAACAGCTTTTACATTGCAGCTGTCCTGCTTTTAAACTCTCCCGGCTAATGTAGCCACGCCTACTGTACATTTATCAACCAATAAGGTTGTATGCATAAGGACCAATCACGGACGTTCCCGCTCAGGGAGCTTGCTGACAAGTGATTGGTTAGGTGCTTCCTAGGCTAGCAATGTGATTGGATGGATTTGGATCCTAGCCCAGGACGAAGCTTAACATAGCATTTCAATTAGATGTTTTCATAACACATTATGCATTCAATGGCAGCTATTGAATACATTACAATAATATAGAGTTCAACCATTCAACACCTTATGAGTCCAAGGTGAATGGGGAAATGCTGCATACATCTAATGCCACCACAATTTGTATGTAGAGATCGCCTCTCCATATCTCACTTGTACATGGTGGTGGGAAGGGCCATGAAGCCATATCCGACGTATGCTGACCCTGTAGGGCAGGGGTGTCGAACTCATTTGTTACGAGGGCCGGATCTGACATTAATGAGACCTTGTCGGGCCGGGACATGTGGGCCATACCATGTACTGCCCGGTAGCGGAGATATAAACTTTATAAAGGATACAAACACAAAGGTGTTTTTTTTACATAAAATGAAAACATGCTTAACACATTAGCACTCTTGCAATATTGTGTTTATTTAAGTGTCTGATAGCTGACACCTCTTGCTCTGAATTATCGCATCAAAATGTCTGTGCTGTTGCAATCTTGAGTAGGCTGTTCAGGTGTGTATCTGTAAGCTGCAAACCTAGGATGACGCAGCAGCAGCAGAACTGGAAGAAGAAGCAGAAGACAACCAGTTCCACTGCGGGCCTGATCCAGCCCCCGGGCCACATGTTTGACACCCCAGCATAGGGTTTTCAAGGCAAGAGACGTTCAGAGGCGGTTTGCCATTGCCTGCCTCCATGTCACAACCCTGGTATTCTTCGGTGTTCCCATCCGAATACTGTCCAAGGCCCACCCTGCTTAGCTTCTAAGATCTGGTGAGATCAGGCTAGCCTGGGCCATGCAGGTCAGGGCCACTTGTACACAGAAAAAAAACAACACCACGAGTACAGGACAATTGCTTAAATTGCTGGGACACCAAAAAAAACCCTTTCTGCTGCATTGTGCATCATAAACACAACCAAAAACAAAAATGGGACATGTAGTTCCTTAAGAGGAAGGTCTCAGTGTCCACGCCTACTGTCTACCACCAGTGAGAGGCGGCTTTGAGACTCAGGGAAGCATTTGGATGCAGAGTGTGGGAACAAGCAGGGGTCATTTCCTGCAGGAGCGCACAGGAGCGGAGCTCCGGCAGTATAGAGCCCAGGGGGCGGGCACATGCTACAAGCCCCACCCCCTGCTCCCAGCAGCCCTCAGTCAGAGCAAGAAGCAGCCAGGTAAGTTGCAGAGCCCCCTCCCAGCCCCCTGGTCCAAAACAGTCCAGTGGCACCTTTAAGACCAAGTTTTATTCCTGTACAAGCTCTCCCTCCTCTGCGAGGACAGATCTGCACGTTCCCCCCCCCTCAATAGTTAGCACTCCAAAACAGTCCAGTGGAGTCTGAGCGGTGGGTGTTGCCTTCTGACACACTTCTGGTGATGTCAGGAGGTGTGGCATATGCAAATGAGTCATGCTAATGAGTCATGCTAATGAGCTCCTGCACCTCTTTTTCCACGAAATGACCCCTGGGAACAAGTATAGTGGCAGAAACGGGGCCAGTTCCAGAGTTTGGGGGGCCCAGGGGCTCCCTTCCCCATTCACTCACCCATGCGTCTCACTTCCTGCCTGTGTCTCCTTCCTTGCCCTGCTCACGAGCTCTCTCACTGCCCATGCTCATAGCCATCTGCACGCAGCTGGACACATGGGTGGCAAGAGACCCACAGGTGAGCAGGCAGAGAAATGGCATGGTGCAGGGGGTCAGCTGCAGTTGGCCCTGTCAAAAGCCCTGGGCCCTAGCAGATGCTCCACCGGCCCTGAACAAAGAGTCTAGAGTCATGCACAGCCCTCGGCTGCCAGTTCTGTTTGGAAGATACATTAATCTCTGCCTGATCTGCCTGCTGGGCAGGGCTGGCCCTCTCCTGACAGCAAAAAAATAAAATAAAAAGTGTCACAATATGGTGGGTGGGGCTGGCCATGACTGGTAGTAGACGACGTAAACTTAGTTGTGCAAAAGCGGTGCCACGCACCTTTGATTCTACCGCTGTGCCTACAACCTGACTTGAAAGTTGGCAGGACTTAGTCTGTGGAAATCCAATAACAACATCCGTGACAAAAAAAACGAAGAGTCAATGAAGATATGCTGCAAAATCATTTACTGTAGTAATTCTGTAGAAAATTCTCTCCTATTATCGCTCACATGCTAATGAATGCTGCACAATGTAAACAATTCGTTTCACAATATTTGCTTTATCTGAGCGTGTAGCAATCGCAATTCTTATCAATTGCTACTTATCAACTCTTGAAGGAAACATTCCATGTTGACTCTCTAATAACAGAACTCAAGGTCTTAACAATATTCTTAAAAGGGTTTAAAAATAAGAGATTAGATATAGAATATAATAGTAAATCCCCATATAAAGCTTACACCTCAAAGGCCGCATGCAGACATCACATTAAGTTATAGGTTGATTGACCCCTGGTTAGTTCTGACATAGCACAAATGGGACAAGAAATAAGGATATGGTGGTGACCAACCCAGGGTTTGAAACTACTGTTCATACTTATTTAATCTCTTAAGAGAACTGTATTTATTTCATCTTATTTCATCTCTTAAGAGAACTGCTTCAAGGTGATAGTTCCTGGTGGTTAGCTGCGTTGGTCTGAAGCAAGAGAACAAATTTAGCATCCAGTGGCACCTTTAAGACCAACTAAACCTTTGTACGAGCTTTTGTGTGCATGCATACTTTTTCAAATACATCGGAATGGAAGGTAAAGTTCAAACTTATAGACAGAGGCTGAACAGCAAATTAACATGTAATATGATGAAGGTCCTTTAAGATGTGCAAAGACTTAGCTTGTTACTTAGTTTTGTCTTTGCATGTCTTACAACATTTTCATCATGTTGCATGTTAATTTACTGTCCAGCCTCTGTCTATAAGGTTGAAATCTAATGTATTTGGGGAAAGCGTGCCTTGCACACAAAAGCTCATACCCTGAATAAACTTTTGTTGGTCTTAAAGGTGCCCCACTGGGCTCTTAATCTGTTCTACTGCTTCAAGGTGAAATACTGAGACATGAGAACATAAGCAGAGCCCTACTGGATCAGACCAGTAGTCCATCTAGTCCAGCATCCTGTCTCACACAGTGGCCAATCAGTTCCTCTGGATAGCCAACAACAGGGCAGAGAGCCCAAGGCCTTCATAACAACCGAAGAAGAGCCCTGCTGGATCAGACCAGTAGTCCATCTAGTTCAGCACAGTGGCCAACCAGTTCCTCTGGAGGGCCAACAACAGGGCAGAGAGGCTGAAGCCTTCCTAAGAACATAAGAAGAGCCCTGCTGGATCAGACCAGTAGTCCATCTAGTCCAGCATCCTGTCTCACACAGGGGCCAACCAGTTCCTCTGGACAGCCAACAACAGGGCAGAGAGGCTGATGCCTTCTTCTGATGTTCCCTCCCAACACTGGGATTTAGAGGTTTACTTCCTCTGAATGTGGAGATTCTCCCCAGTTACAATTATCAATATAGTATAGACACACATTCATAGACCTGTATACAAGATCTTTAGTACTCATATATTAAAACCAGATGTTGTTTCCTTGTATCTTTTTAATTGTATTGCTGGTATTAGTGATGGGCCATAGGTATAGCCATATCAATTCCACCAGTTATTCTGGTAACAGAGATTTCATAGGTCTGAATGTGTGTCCCTCCATCAAGGTAAAGATTCTGGTTTTAATATATGAGCACTAAAGAACTTGTATACAGGTCTATGAATGTGTGTCTATACTATATTGATAATTGTGACCACTGAGGAAGGCCCTTAGGGGCCGAAACGCGTTTGGTCTTCAGTAGGAAAGTGTTTACCCATCATCTGTATTAGTATTTGATAAGTTTTTATAAGTCTGATACTTAGATAAAGATTTTTATCAGTCTATGTTTTAACCTGTGTACACCCTAATAAATATTTGTACTTTTGTAATATACATTGTTAGCTTAGCCCTTTGGTTCGCAGTTCTAATCAGCACTGGTCCCATTAAATTGCAAGTCTTCAGTGACATTTCAGAAAGAAAAACACCGAAAGGCTGTCTTCCTAGCCATGTTGAAAGTGAACGTTAGATTTACCACCCTCCTAGCCCTGCAGAGCCAGTATTAGTCATTTGATTAACAGCATAAAGAATGCCAAGTTGACTCTACACACCCATGTGGAAAATTTCACATGAAACAGAGTCTTTCTGAACCACCTCATAATCTACCTCATAAAATATACTTGAGCAGTGAGGGTCCATGCCTAACTGTCAGTTTGTTAAGTCAATTTCTGATTTGTGAAGGGTAGATTATTAAAATATTTACTAAGAAATCTACAGGGGGGGGGAATAAAACTATAAAGCGCTAGGTCCCAGATTTTAGCCAGGCTTCTTAAGCTTGGGAGACAGTCACGGTTAAGCAAAATATCCTTGGAAGGGGGCCAGGAACGGCAGTGATTTAAGAAAAGCCATTAGCTCTGTGAGGGACTGAATGAAAAACACTTCCCATATTTTAACACATGTTTAGTTTCTCCTACAATCCTTTACTTCTGTCTTCTTCCTTGGAAGCTAGTATACGTGGAACGCTCGAAAATTGCCAGATACATATCTTTAAATATATCGATCTATATATTAAGCACTTACCTGTCTATGCAGTGACTCCGTTGACTGAACTGAGAAAGAGACGAAAAGGCACGGCTAAGGGAACTGGTGTCACAGGATGAAGAAAGAATGCCCTAGCTCACCTGAATCCAGACGCCACTCCCTCCCTCTCCTCTCTCTCTCTTTCTTAGTCATCCCTCCTGGCAATTTATACATGATAGAAAAAGTTATTTGGGCTGAACTTGCTGGCTGTAAAACTCCAAGGAGCTACAACATGCTGCAGCAGGAAAGAGCCGTCTTATGACGATTCCTTTCTCAGGTGAATTTTCCCAGTGAAAGTCAGGTAGGGGCCACCGGGAGGCCACATGTGTGTGCAGACACCGAACTGTCTCCGTTGGTAGAGAAGTCGTCGTTGCAAAACAAAAGCAAAACTGTCCAAAGGGAGAAGAAAAGGAAAACCAGCAGATCATTGACCTTTCCATTGTTAAGCCTCGAGAATAGGGTTTGTCAAGTCCAGGTTGGGAAGTTCCTGGAGAACTTTTGGGTTGTGGGACCAGAGGACAGCAGGGTTTGGGGAGTGAAGAGAACTCCGTAGTGATGCATGCTTCCAGGTGGGACCTGGGGGTCACCTGGGATTATCAGTTCCCCTGGAGAAAATGGAGGGTGGAGTCTGTGGCATTGTACCCCATTGATCTCCCGGTCCTCTCCAAGCTCCACCCCCAAATCTCTAGGAGCTTTCCAACCTGGATCTGGCAACACTACCCCCATTCCCCACCAGTGGCCAGGGGAGAACCTGGCAGCCCTAGACCTCATCAGGGTATAATGCCATAGTCCACCCTCCAAGGCAGCCATTTTCTCCAGAAAAACTGATCTCTGGAGATCAGTTGTAATTCCAAGAGATCTCCAGCCCTCAACTGGAGGTTGGAAGTCCAATCAAAACAACCATGACAAAAATGACGAAGAGTCAAAAAAGATATATTAGCAAAAATATATTAGCAAAAAAGATATATTAGGGAAAATATCATAACGCTCGCACACAACGGATTTTGCGCAATAACAAATACCTGTTTCTGTCAGCTACACTGCCATATTGTTTATGGACTGAGGAGGCACCCGCCTGACCTGTGTACGACTGGGTGCCGCATTCCTTTCCCTTTCTCGCTTCTCCCGTTATCTGTAACCTTGTACCACTGTCTAGTTGTAGTGTCTTCACATTAATCAGCCGTGTGACTGGTTTTGTTTCCCAGCTCAGCTGCATTGGTTATTCCTTCCCGCCAATGGGAATCAGGCTGATTGGCCCATGGGTGTGAAGGGGGGGTCTCTCTCTCCAAGATGAGTGGGCAAGAGGAGAAAATTGTACCGACAATGACTGGGAGTGAGATTCCTACAACCCAGCCTGATGTTCCGGTGACTACCGTGGACCCGGTAACGACTGTGGGGGTTGGGACAGTTCCGAAGACCACGTCCACCCACATTTTCCTAACCCCAAAAGCATCGGGGCAGACGTAACCCGGGTCTATGCAGTGGGGCCAGTTTAACCCAGACTCAACAGAGGAGATTTACATCCTCACGAGGGGCCCCATATGTGACAGCCGTTTTGATGTCAAAACCCCATGGGAGGGGGACTACCAGATGTATGGGACAACATCAGAAGCTGCAACCAGAGACTGGGTAACTGGGTGGTCAAAAACCCACAGCGGCCGCATTTCTCCTAGTGAGGAGGAGACCGTGTTAACCAACAGGCTAGAGACTTTGGAACGAACCCAGCAACAAATGGTGCAGGAGTTAGAGGAAGTGATCCTAGCCATCCCGGAGATGGTGGTACAAGCTATTCAAGCCGAACATCAGGCATTGCAGCTTTCCCTCTGTCGTTGCTGCCAGAGCCGGACAGCCGGTTCCCGAGGGGGGAACTCCGCAACTCCCCGGATCTGCTGGACCACCACTGCAGTGCCAGGGGCCCCTCAACCACTGGGTCCAGTGGGGCCAGACCCAGGGAAGTGGCCTAGGAGCCAGGTTACTCCCTGACTGAAGGACCTACTCGGGGCAATCTTTGATGGTGAGCCAGAGAACCTGACTTATTTCGTGATCTGAGCCATGAAATTCGTGGAAAGGTGCGGCCACCTGTTTCCCGATGATGGCAGTAGAGTGAATGTCATTGCTTCCCACCTGCAAGGGGCCGTGGCCACTTGGTATGTAGGCTTACACACCTCCCGCAGTCCTGAATTAAATAGCATGGAAGCTTTTATGTGGGCGTTCAGTGCCCAGTTTGAGGATCGCAATGCCAGCACGAAGGCCCGTGCGTTCCTCCGCACCCTTAAGCAAGGGGTCAGTCCGTGCCTATTCAACTGAGTTTAAGTGACACGCTGCCAAGATTCAAAATTGGCCGGACCAAGTGCTCGCTGAATTATACTGGATCGGACTAAACTCCGAGATCCGAGAAACAGTCCTCCGCTTGGTAGATCTGGTCTCCTTGTTGGCCTGGATGTAGGAAGCAGAGAACGCAGAGGGTCATCTTAAAACCTTACGCATAGACAGTGGATCATATGGGGGGAAGACCCTGCCACCCCGAATCCCCAAAGGAACAGGCACCCCCCCCAACAATCTCTGAGACCAACGCATGAAACAGGGGCTGTGCCTCCGATGTGGGGGAAAGGGCCATTTCACCGCTGACTGCCCGGGGATGGGAACTACCGGGAAAACGGAATTATCCAAAGGTCGGCTAGGAACCCCAGGGAAAAAACCCGTGGGCAAACCAAAGTTCACCAAAGCCCTACAAGCCACGCTGGAAGCTGTCATGGACGATTCCAGCAAAGAAGAGGATGGTGAGCCGGTGGGAAAAGGCCAGGTCCTGTTGTAAGCAGCGCTACACAGCAGGATCTGATCCCAGAAGCACCAAATGTGGTAAGCAGATACCCTCCTCTCTTTTTCATGACTGTGACGCCCATGAATCCCGCTATGGGGACTCATATTAGAGTCAGGGGGTTAATTGACTCACGGTGTGGGAGGGATTTGATCAATCCATCCTTAGTCTCTGGTTTAGAAGCAGCGATGGTGCAGCTACCAGAACCACTAATTTTTACACAGATGGGTGGATCCTCCATGAAAGAACCCTGCCAATTTGAGACTGTACCTCTGGGGGTGGGTGACCACTGGGAAGAATGGCCCTTTTTCATCACCCCAACGGTGCGGTTCCCCTTGGTATTGGGGAGCCCCTGGCTACATGGCCATGACCTGTATATATGCTGGGATGAGGGGACGGTGCAATTCATCTCCCCTAAATGCCAACAGCACGTTTGGAACCTAGAATGGAGTCCCAAGCCGGTAGTCGACTCTCCCCGCGCCTGTTTGGCAAAGGAAGAGCTCGCTTCCATTCCTTCTGAATACCACGATTTGGCCATGGTGTTTGAGGCTGAGGAAGCTGATGAACTACCCCCCCCCCACTGACAAGCAGACTGTAGCATTGAACTGTTGCCAGGGCATAAAGTTCCCAAAGGTCGGATTTATGCAATGGGCCCGGCAGAGAAAGATGAACTGCGTACGTTTATCGACCAAAACTTAGCCCGGGGTTTTATCTGGCCAGCCTCGTCCCCTTTTGCAGCCCTTGTGCTATTTCGGAAGAAGGAGGATGGGGGGCTGTGCTTATGCACAGACTATCGGGGCCTGAACACTCATTAAGGATTTGCTAGGCAACGTTTCCAGGGGTAAAGTCTTTTCCAAGTTGGACCTCCAAGAAGCATACTTCCGCATGCGCATAAAAGAGGGGGATGAACATAAGACAGCTTTTAACACCCCCCTGGGCCAGTTTGAATATCGGGTGATGCCGTTCGAGCTCCAGGGGGCGCCGGGAGTGTTCATGAACTTGATAAATGAAGAGTTGCACAAGCATTTATTTAAGGGGGTCCTGGTGTATCTAGATGATATCTTGCTGTATTCCCCCGACTTACCTTCGCACATAAAGTTGGTGCGGGAGGTACTCCAAATGTTGCACAAGCACAAGCTGTTCGCTAAACTCTCTAAATGTGAGTTCCACAAAACAGCCATTGACTTTCTGGGGTACCGGATTTCTGACAAGAAGATTGAAATGGACCCAAAAAAGGTCCAGGATGTCTTGGGATGGGAGGCCCCTCGCACCTGTCGCCAACTGCAATCCTTCCTCGGATTTTCGAATTTTTACCGAAATTTCCTCCTCAACTTTGCCCAAGTTAGCCTACCCCTAACTGACTTGTTGAAAACTAACTAACTGACTTGTTGAAAACAAAGGGAAAGGGCCCGGAGGCTACCAAATCAAGCACAAAACTTCAGTGGACGACCGAATGCCAAGAGGCATTCAAGCGCCTCAAATCCCTATTTACAGCGGAACCGGTGTTGGCTCACCCCAATGAGCGGAAAAAAATATATTGTGCATGTCGATGCTTCTGACGTCGCCATGGGGGGGGTGATCCCGCAAGAGGGAGATGATAAACTTTTGCACCCTCTTGCTTATGTCTCCCGTAAATTTACTGAGACTGAACGCAATTGTTCTGTTTGAGGTGGGAGCAATCCGACTGGGTCTCTCGACATGGAGGCACTGGCTGGAAGGGGTGAGGGTGCCTTTCGAAGTGTGGACGGATCACAAAAATCTGGAAGTGCTCAAAACCCCTCGTAATCTAAATGCAAAGCAATTACAATGGGCTGATTTTTTCTCCAAGTTCCAGATCACTTTACATCATTTTCCTGTCTCTGCCAACTCTCTGGCCGATGCCTTGTCCCGCCTCCCCCAACACGACAGCCAACAGGAGTTGATCCTTGACTCGATGTTCATGCCCACCCAGCTCAGGGGTGTGGTGACAACTCAAAGATGCGCCACTTCCTCCGCCTCCGCCTCCACCCCCACCCCGGCTAGACGAACTCGCCTCCTCCCCTCTGGCCCGCCCTGACGGGTCAACCTGGAATGACAGTTTTGGTGGCCACATATGCGCAAAGACCTCTCATCTTTCGTTCAATCTTGCCAAATGTGTGTTATGTTTAAACCCCGGCCTGGAAAGTCCCCGGGGCTATTGCAGCCCCTCCCAACTCCGAGTCGGCCGTGGGAGGTAATCTCCATGGATTTCATTACGGATTTGCCCCCCAGTAAAACGATGGCAGTTATTTGGGTTATTGTAGACCTGTTTTCCAAGCAGGCTCATTTGCCTCACTGCCCACGACCAAGGATTTGACAAAGGTGTTT